CTACGTTTAATCTTTTTGTCCTTTTTATTTCATTTCTATCAATCGTGGCAGCTTTTCTTTTCCGATTATGAACTAATACGATACGAGGTTTCTTTTTTGAAATTTCATTATCTTCATCATCATTTAGAATGCTTTTAGGTCGAACTCTATCTAATGGATAATCGTCTGCGATATCAAAATCTTTCTTATCTTCATATGTCTGTGGTTTCGATTTGTTGTTTTCTTTTCGCTGCTGTGTCTTCTTTTTCTTCTTTTGGCTGCAAATATTCTTTTTCTCTTTCTGATTTATCATCTTGGCTAAAGAATCCTCAATTTCGTATAAACTTTTTTTAGTTTTTTGTAGTTTTTTTAAACAAGTTTGAATTAATCTCCTGGAACGGTATTAGTAACCACCACCGCCGCGGTCTGTATTTGGAATGCCCATTCCGAGTTTTAATTTTGTTTTCATTGCCGCCGTTACTCCTAAAGCGGCAATTTTCTCCTTCCACCCGGAATTTTTAGCTTTAAATCTCGCTAAAGCCTTAGAAGCTAATACTTTATCTGCCTCGTGACGTTTGTTTAAATCACTTTCCGTTGAATAGGCGATATCGTGTTGTTTGCATGCATTGTCCAAACCGTTTATGCCGGAATCGTTTTTAGCGAGACGTTTTTCAACTTTTGTACCGGGGCCGCACCAATTATACCCCGGAATATGCATTTCAAAAGGCAATTTGTTGATTACCGTATTTAATAAACCGTTACCTGATGCGTAACATTTCATGCTGACGATCGTGTGTGTTCGTTTTGTTAGTACAAACTAATATAAAAAGTTTGTAAGTCATCTATTTTATATCATTATGAATAGTACGGTGTTTTAGAAAACAATCACATTATGAAACTTATTAAACAAAGTACTACATTAGATATTGAAAATAATACGTTTCACGAAAAATCTTACAAGAGGCATGGTAAATTGTTTCCCGCAACAATAAGATGTATTATCGTGGGTCCTTCGAATTGCGGTAAAACTAACGTGATGATTAATTTAATCGAACAGGAGAACGGTGTAAAATTTGAAAACGTATACATTTATTCGCGATCTTTGAACCAACCAAAATATATTTACCTGGATCAACTGCTGAAATCAATAAAAGGTATTCGATATTTTACATTTAACGCCGGTGAAAGCATTATGCATCCGTCGGAGGCTAAACCGAACAGTATTTTCATTTTCGACGATGTAGCGTGCGACAACCAAGATGTCATACGCGAATACTTTAGTATGGGACGACATAATAAAATTGATTCGTTTAATTTATGTCAAACGTATGCTAAAATACCTAAACATCTTATAAGAGACAATGCTAATTCTCTCGTAAATTTCAAACAAGACGATTTAAATTTGAAACACATATACAACGATCATATCGGTACCGATATGACTTTTGAACGTTTTAAAGAAATGTGTGCTTTATGCTGGAACGAAGCGTTTAGTTTCCTAACTGTATTTAAAGACTGCGATATTAATCAAGGAGGTCGATATAGGAAAACATTTGATTGCTTCATACATTTCTAATCGTCCTATCGCGGCGGCGGCGGCGGAAGCTGTTTCGACCTGTTCAGGAGCTGTTCAGACCTGTTCAGAAGCTGTTTAGACCTGATCAAGAGCTGTTTTAGACCTGTTCAGGAGCTGTTTAGGTCCCCGATCAAAAGTTGTTTACGCCTGATCAGAGAGAGCTGTTCCTATAAAGGTTATTCACTAGTGGTTCTACATTCAGAACGTAACTTGCTATAGACGGTGATATCGAGCGCTATGATCAGTCAACAAAATGATAAAGTTTTGAAAAAACGATTAATTTCTAAACGTAAGGATATAAGAAAAAAACTTGAAGAATTAAAACGTGGTGAAATGATGCAAGAGACAATGTTTAAGCCTATTACAAAACGATTGAAAAATATCGAGTCTTCTTTGCAAAATTCAACAAGAACAACAACGCCAGCAACCACGACGACGAAGACGACTCTAGTAAGTGATGTAACACAAACTACTCCAAAGTATCATCTTCCCGTAAAAGTGGAGGAGCCCGCCGCCGCCGCCGCAGCAGCAGCAGCCGCCGCCACAGCAGAAGAACAAACTTTACCACTATCAGTAATTCAAAAGAAACGAAAAATATTGCCTAGACAGTTATCATTTAATTCGACTCCTATTAGTAATTACGATTCACCGAGTGAAATGAAACAATCAATTATAGATGAAATTGATTCAGATTATGAAGACAACGTAGTAAACGTAGACAAGGAATCTACTAGTCGATTTGAAGATATCGGACCAGTGTCTTTTATTGAATATTTGGATCAATACGATCCATTACCACGGAAATATATTCGAGAAATGTACGAAGATACCGAAAATAGAGAGTTTGATCACAAGTATGGCGTTAGAATGGATAAAAGTACTGAAAAATTTTTTATTGGTAACTCACAAGTAGATATTCAAGGATCAGATATTTATGTTCAAGGTAAACGGTACAGAGGTACTCAAGGTTTATACGAATTGTTATTTAAAAAGTATCCTAACAATAGTTTATTTAACGAACAAGACAGGGAAAATTATAAACAAATTGTATACAAAACGAACGCTCACAAAAGACATTATAAACCCAATGCTCAAATTGACGGAAGTAAGCTGAAAAAATATAAAAATATTATTGCACCAACAACAACAACTGGGGGAAAGGGTTTAATGACAACAATGGAAGTGACACCCAATAAAAAAGATTACATTTATTGGGACGATCCAAATGAATTAGTCGATCGATTGCGTCTACTCGTATCGTCACAGTCTGCAGGTCATACGGGTCACTTAAATGAGATAAATTCGCTAATTGAAGAATTGCGCGAAGCCGATATTATAGAATGAAGCCGTCGAAATTTATTACGGATGCGAAGCGACAAGTTGTCGAGGAACTTCATAAACCTGCTCGTATAAACTTTAAACGTAGAAAAACTATAATTAAATCTTTATATGATCTGTTTCAAGCTGACCTTATCGAAATGATTCCGTACGCAAAACAAAATCGTGGATACAAATACATACTAATTGTAATAAATTGTTTTTCTAAATTTGTTTGGGCGCTACCTGTAAAAAATAAGTCGGGAGCGGAAGTGACGAGAGCTATGGAAACAATTTTAAAGTCCACCAAAAAACCAAAAAATTTACAAACTGACGCTGGAGCTGAATTTTTTAACAAAGACTTTCAAAATTTAATGAAAAAATATCATATCAATCATTATAATGTATTTAGCGAGAAAAAGGCCGCTATAGTGGAAAGAGTGAACCGTACCATAAAAAATATAATGTGGAAAGAGTTTAGTCTACGAGGAAACTATAAATGGATCGACATATTATCGGAAATTGTTAGAAACTACAATAATACACATCACAGCGTAATTAAAATGAAACCGGCCGATGTTATAAAAAAGCACGAAAAAAATCTAATGGAAACGGTGTTTAATCGAATAAAAATGACAAATCTTAATACCAAATTTAAGATTGGCGATCGCGTACGAATATCGAAGAGGCGAGGTGTTTTCGATAAAAAATACCAACCAAATTGGTCAACGGAAATTTTTACGGTAGATAAAGTTCAACTAACCAATCCCACTACGTATTTATTAAAAGATGAAAATAATCAAAATATTCTCGGTGGATTTTACAACGAACAATTGCAAAAAGTGAAGTTTCCAGACGTTTATCTAGTTGAAAAAATTCTCAAAAGGAAACGCGATAAAGTGTTTGTAAAGTGGTTGGGGTTTGATAACAAACACAATAGTTGGATAGATATAAATAATGTTGCGTAGGTTTGAGGAAGATTCAGTTGCAAATTAGTAGTGCTCGTAGAACATTTAAAAAATGTTTATCCTCGACGTTCAAGGATTTCAGTATAAACAGAGCGATTATATCGTTAGAGAAATCGCAATTATAAACGTGTCCAGTGGAGAAGTGTTTCATAGAATGGTGAAAACACCTTGTCCGTATAACTGGTTCACAGGTGAAATTAGAAACCATCTTTTGAAGACCACGAATCGTGTCCACGGACTATCCTGGGATGAAAAAGAGGATGAGACCTGTCTACCTCAAGAAAGTGTAGTTAGTTTTATTAGAAACATTGTACAAAATAACTATATCTATGTTAAAGGCAGTTGTAAGGTAAACTATTTAAAATCACTGCTTTATTACAATGATATTGATATTGTCGATTTACATGACATTGGATGTCCAAATTTTAAAAGTTTAAAAGAAAATAACCAGTATAATTTTCATTGTAATAATCACTTTTATAATTTCTCTAATTGTGCCAAAGAAAATGTACTATTGCTGAGAAATTGGTATATTAATAAAAATTATCTTAAAAAATGAACTTGTTGTTTTATTAACTTTAACCATAAGAACAATTAAAATGATTTTTATCATGTGATGGAAAAATTAAACAAGTTATAACTCGAATATTTTTTTATTATTTTTATTTACTAACTAACTAAAAACGATTAATTTCTAAACGTAAGGATATAAGAAAAAAACTTGAAGAATTAAAACGTGGTGAAATGATGCAAGAGACAATGTTTAAGCCTATTACAAAACGATTGAAAAATATCGAGTCTTCTTTGCAAAATTCAACAAGAACAACAACGCCAGCAACCACGACGACGAAGACGACTCTAGTAAGTGATGTAACACAAACTACTCCAAAGTATCATCCTCCCGTAAAAGTGGAGGAGCCCGCCGCCGCCGCCGCAGCAGAAGAACAAACTTTACCGCTATCAGTAATTCAAAAGAAACGAAAAATATTGCCTAGACAGTTATCATTTAATTCGACTCCTATTAGTAATTACGATTCACCGAGTGAAATGAAACAATCAATTATAGATGAAATTGATTCAGATTATGAAGAGAACGTAGTAAACTTGTTGTTTTATTAACTTTAACCATAAGAACAATTAATATTATTTTTATCATGTGATGGAAAAAATTAAACAAGTTATAACTCGAATATTTTTTAATATTTTTATTTACTAACTACACTAAATTTTTGACTTTCAAACTCTTCCGCGTCGTCGTCTAAAACGAAGCAAAAATCTTCAACTTTGCTGGTACTGGGAGTGGTGGTAGTCGTCGTCATCGTCGTAGTGGTGGCTGATTTTAAAATTCTGTTTTCCAGAATTTTTATTTTCTCTTCTTCCGAAGCCGGCTTGAATTTTTTAGCCGGTACCGGTTCGTCCTCCTCTATGGCAGCCGCATAAAAATTGACGTCCGAGAATTCACGCATCCCCTTCAATAACAATTGTAATTCTTCCTCGTCATCGGCCGCCACTCTCAGGTATCGGACGGGAAGATTTTTTAATTTTCCCTGAACCGTTTCATTCTTCGGTGAATATTTCAAATACAAGTGAACTCTCTTGTTCACAATCTTCACTTCTTTCCTCCCATACCTATGATAATTTGATAGATTTTTAGTAAATTATGGAAAACAAAACAGTGAAGGTGACAGACTTACCTGAATAAATTTTTTAAAAATACCGCCAGCATCTTGTTGGAAAGTCTGGCGGGATCCGTTGACTCAAAAATTAATGTTGACGGAGTGTCCATAGTCGTTGTGTACAATGATTCCTTGTCGTAGAGTTCGATATATTTATATGCATTTATTTTTTTAATTATTATCTATCCTAAAATTTCCACTTCGTCAGCACGATAATAACACAGTGCATTCATAATATTAAAAGCGATTACGTTATATTTATCAATTGCGCAAAACATAATAGTTTTGACCCTAACCCCGCTATCCGATAAAAGCGGTAAAATTCTACAAAGTGATATTATTTATCACATACGCGTCTATTAGAATAGACAAAAAAGTCTGCTGCGTATAAGTAAAAATGTCTGAAATCAGTGAGTTGAGTGAAAAAACGCTGCTGAAAATTAAAGAAGTTGGTGAGTTAATTAAAACAAAACATGAATATTGCAAGTGGATAAAATTTCTGAACAGAAACAATTTAATTTTGAAAAAATATTTAAAAAGTGTATCGTCATCGTCGACAGACAGAAAAGCGGTGGCAAAAATAGAATCAAATTTAAGTCTTTTAAAAAATTTTAAAGAACAATTCAAACATCATAAAACAGTTAAAAAAAATAATGCAAAATTAATTTGGGTTGATAACGAGTCTTGCTTTAAAAATCGTATTAAAACGGGAGCAATAGTTAATTTAGATATTAAAGATCCTATAATATTTTTTAGCAAGGCGTTTAGATCATTCTCTTGTCAAATAAAAAAAGCCCTTCGGGAGTCCCTAATTAAAGTTAACGTAATATTTCTTGCAGATTTTGTAAAACCACAAACAGGCGAAACCGATGTAAAACATTTTTCCACCAAAAATCGCGTCATCGATCATAATACCGATTTGAAAGAATTTTATAGTAATTATATTAAAAATAATATATTAACAAAATTAGAGGATTTTCAAGAGAGGGATTCTGGTTGGGCTCTTCACCGGATTCTACAATTAAAAGTTAACATTAATAATTATACACCGATAAATATCGGTCTTTCAACTTATGTATCGATGCCAAAATTTATTATTAATAAAAAAGCTGTTCTTAATATTCAAAATAACGATGAATATTGTTTTCTTTGGTCTATCGTTGCCGCGCTACATCCTTGTCGTACAAATCAAAATCCGCGTATTACCTATTCATATCCTCATTTCAGTGAAGTTTTAAAATACGATGGCATTGAATTTCCAATCAAATTAAAAGACATAAAAAAGTTTGAAGAAATGAATAATATTTCCATAAACGTTTTCTCATTAGAAAAGCGGGAAATTGTACCGGCGTGTTTAAGTCAATTCTCTTATTTAAGAACGGTTAATTTATTGATGCTTCCCACCGATATAACCAATAATTACGACGACGACGACGACGACGACGTCGACAACAATAATCTCTCTAATCACATTAACAATTTTGAGACAGTTTTTCATTTCGCATTAATTAGAAGTTTATCACGGTTATTATCGAAACAAAGCGGAGATTCGACTCATAGCAGATTTTATTGCGATAGGTGCTTAAATCATTTTTATTCACAACAAACTTTAAATAAACACATATTTAGTTGCAGAAAATTAAATAAAACCAAAATTACGCTCCCAACTGAACAAGAGAAACACGTAACATTTTCGCATTTTAAAAATAAAGAAAAAGTACCGTTTGTTATTTACGCGGATATCGAGTGTATTTTACAAAAATACGAAGATTCCGCTGCGACGGGAAACATTAAAAAATATCAAAAACATATTCCTTGTAGTATTTCTTATTATCTGTTGTGCAGTTACGATAATAATCTTTCCAAATTTAACTTGTATACGGGTAAAGATTGTATGAGCTGGTTTTGTCGACAATTACAAGAACTGGCCCTACAATTAAATCCTATATTTAACAATGCTGTTTCAATGACACCTTTGACTGAACATGAAAAAGAATCATTTTATACATCAACCACATGTCACATTTGTTCAAAACCATTTACCGAAAATGATTTAAGAGTAAAAGATCATTGTCATTTCACGGGAAAATATCGAGGAGTTGCTCATTCTTCTTGCAATCTTAATTACAAGGACGATCATATGATACCCGTGGTATTTCATAACTTAGGATACGATCTACACTTTTTTATTAAAAACTTGGCAACTGAAATTCCCGGTTCGGTAATATTACTACCTCGTAACAAAGAAAAATATATATCGTTTACAAAATATATCGAAAACACGAGCGTTAATTTTCGATTTTTAGATTCATTCAAATTTATGGCTAGTAGTTTGGATAAGTTAAGTTCTTATTTAGACCCTAGCGAAAAAAACATTACTAGAAGCTTTTGCGAAAATCTCGAAGAATTTCAGTTGTTACAGAAAAAGGGAGTCTTTCCGTATGAATATCTAGATGATTGGGAAAAATTGAACGACGTCGAATTGCCCCCGATTGAAAATTTCTATAGTAAACTTAGAAAATCCGGTATTACGATAAAAGATTACGAGCATGCCAAAAATATTTGGACAACATTCAAAATTCAAAATTTACGCGAATATATGGAATTGTATTTGAAAACAGACGTACTATTATTGACGGACGTTTTCGAAAATTTCAGAAATGTATGTCAAAAAACGTATGGCTTGGAATGTTTGAAATATTACACGGCACCGGGTCTGGCATACGATGCATGTCTTCTCATTTCAAATGTTCAACTAGAATTAATTACGGACATCGATCAATTAATGATGATCGAAAAAGGAATACGCGGTGGAATTTCACAATGCAGTAACCGATACGGTAAGGCTAACAATAAATACATGGAAAACGATTATAATCCAGACATTCCTTCATCATATTTAATGTATTTCGATGTAAATAACCTATATGGAACGGCAATGAGACTACCACTACCGACGGGTGGGTTCCAATGGATCGATAATAACGCATTTTATTCTATCATAAACACGTCGGACGATTCTGACGTTGGGTATCTTCTTGAAGTAGATATAGAATATCCTACAATACTTCACGATATCCACAAAGATCTACCTCTATGTCCGGAACGTTTGATTCCACCAACGGGTCAAACAAAACAGCCGAAATTATTGACAACATTGTTTGATAAAAAAAACTACGTAATACATTATAAAAATCTCAAACAGGCTCTTCAGTTAGGTTTACGTGTTACAAAAATTCATAAAATATTACAATTTAACCAATCTCCGTGGTTGAAAACCTACATTGACCTAAACACACACTTGAGGCAGCAAAGCAAAAACGAATTCGAAAAAAATTTTTTTAAATTAATGAATAATGCCGTTTTCGGCAAGACTATGGAAAACGTTCGGAAATATAAAGACGTTAAACTGGTAACAAGTTGGTCGGGACGATACGGTGCAAAGAGTTATATTTCAAAACCAAATTTTCATAGCTTAACAATTTTCGACAATGACATGGTTATCATTGAAATGAAGATATTCATAAATTTGACACTTCTGATTATCCTCCCGATAACATTTATAATATTCCTTTGGCTAATAAAAAAGTTTTGGGATTGATGAAAGACGAAAACAACGGTAGAATTATGCACGAATTTATCGGATTAAAATCTAAAATGTACGCGATCAAATTATATTATTCAAATGTAGAACGAGAAAAATCTTCTAACAAAAAAGAAGTCGAAACTATTAAAAAAGCCAAAGGTATTACCGGTTCGTCATTAAAAACAATCACTTTTGAAGACTATTATAATTGTCTGTTTGATAAAACTCAAATGTATACCAACGAACATCTGTTTCGTAGTAAAAACCATGAAGTTTTTACGGTAAACCAAAGGAAAATTGTTTTAACACCGTTCGATGATAAGAGAGTGGTTAATTATATATTTACTGATACATTGCCTTGGGGATATAAAACAAATTAAATTTTATGTTAAAAAAATATTCACTTGTTTTAATTAATACAATTTCATAAGCAGCAAAAACTCACTTGTTTTATTATTTTTGTTTTAATTAATTCAATTTCATAAGCAGCAAAACTCAACAATTTTAAATAATACATTATTAAAAGGTAAGAACCTATTTGTTTTCTGTAGTCATAATTTAATACAATTTTTTTCACAGCATTCTAACGTCGAGTCACTGAAAATTTGCGTTAAAGTGTTTAGTCAAGTACGAAGCAGCAGCAGCCATGAATAGTGATCGTTACGTAACAACAACAACCGAAAAAAAAGTGAAACAAGATGTTTCGGAAAACTCCAAAGTCTACTACTATAACGGTACCAAGTACTGTAATAGCTGTAACAAATCTTTTTGCTTTTGTGAAGAATCCATTAAAAATCATCCAATATGTAATATAAAATATTGTTCGCAATCAACAAATCGTTCGAACAATATAAGTTTATATTGCGACGAAGTTATTCCATCATCGTCGTCGTCGTCGTCGTCGTCGTCGTCGTCGTCGTCGTCGTCGTCACCACCAGCGGCCAAAAAAACAAGGATTTAGAACATACCCTATAGAAGAAGAAGAAGAAGAAGAAATACGTTGTGGTGTTTAGCAAATTTATATCGGATGTCAATACTTTGTAAATGTTTTCAATAAATCATCAATTTTATCGGTGCACATTTATTTAATTGTATTCACCTCGACAACCTTTTTAGATATTATTTTGTTTTCTATTCAAACTTATCAATGTAAATGTTTTAAATAAATCATCAATTTTATCGGTGCACATTTATTTAATTGCATTCACCTCGACAACCTTTTTAGATATTAATTTGTTTTCTATTCAAACTTATCAATGTAAATGTCTTAAATAAATCATCAATTTTATCGGTGCACACTTATTTAATTATATCGACCAGCGCGCATACACGACGACGACGCGATAACGTGCCGGCCCCCAGTTACGCTAGGGGAACAGCGCGCGCGAGCGTCGGCGTTTATCTCCGAAGGTTCGCGGTTCGAATCCCGCCCGCGCGAGACATCGGCGGCGGCGGCGGCGGCGGCGGTCGCTTTCTTCGGCTCTCAAAAATTTCTCACCCCCGCACCCCCACACCCCCCCCCCCCCCGTAGTGTCGAAAAGGCACTACGAAATTTATTTTTT